CCCCTCACCCGAAAAAACCTCTCCATTCTCTGATTAGCATCTCTCCAAGCTGTATGCTATCGGCCCATCACTGGGTCTGCCTTAATTGCGCCATTATTGGGCCTTTCTGCACGAGAGAAAGAGCTGTTTACAGTGGTGGGCAAACTGACTGACACTGTACCTAATTTAGTGTTCAATGGGGGGTTAATTCACAGTGTGATAAGTAGTCCATTAGGTAATTCTCCCTCTCCTTCTCCTTTCTCTCGCTTTCTCTCATCTAATCGTCTCTCTTCATCAGCCTCATGCTGAGCTAGACAAAACAGAGACACCCCCAAAATAAAACATTACGCACATGTGTGTATTTGCTCAGCGCCCCGCCGGTGGCCCTCCGCCTCGCTAATTGGCCTCATTCGAGTTCCCCTCTCTAATGAATGGAAGACAAGAGACGTAATCGGAAAAAAAGAGGAGAGAAAGCGTTTGTGATTCAATCAAGAAGCCGGTGAGGATGGGTGCGGAATAAAGCCGTAATGATGTGTATGCAAATACACAGGGAGGTTTTCATTAGAGGGGGTGGCATCGCTGTTCGCTCGGAGAAAGGAAATTTACCCTGAAATTAACCAACACAAACTCAATAACAGTCATAAAGGCCATATATAGTCATACAGGACAGCAGGAGGCCATTCTGAGCTGTTTTATCTACATCATGTTTACATTCAGTAAACGCATGGCTTGTTTATGATTGCACATGCATTCAGTTCATAGACAATAAATAGACTTTTTGACCCTTTGAGGATCTCTCTCTCTCTCTCTCTCTCTCTCTCTCTCTTTCTCTCTACCTCTCTCTCTCTCTCCCTCTTCTGTCTCTCTATCTCTCTCTACCTCTCTCTCTCCCTCTTCGTTTTATCTCTCTTTATCTGCTTTCTCTCTCTCACACACTCTCCCTCCATTCTCTTCTCTCTCTCTCTTCTTTTTCTCTCTCTCTTCTTTTTTATCTATCTCTTTCCCTGCTCTCTCTCTCTCTCTCTATCTGTCTCTCTCTCTCTCTCTCTCTATATATATATATATACATACATCAAACTGTCTCTTGTTTTCTCTCTTTCTCTATCTCTCTCATTTTCTTTCTATCCATCTCTCTCACTCTTTCTCTCTCTTTCTCTCTGTCTCTCCATCCATCTCTTGATCTCTCTCATTTACTCTGTCTCCCTTTCTTGCTCTCTCCATCCCTCTAAACTTCTCCCCCTTCATTTCTCTTCTTCCTCTTTTTCTCTATCTTTCGGTTTCTACCTTTTCCTTCTCTCTCTCTCTCTGTCTCTTGATCTCTTTCTTTACTTTCATTTCTCTTCCTTTCTGTCTCATTTTTCATTTTTCTTTTCTCTCTCTTCCTTTCTCTCTCCCTCTATCTTTCTCTTGTACCTCTCAATCTCTCTTCTTCTCTCTCTCTCACTCTTCCTCTCACTCTCTGTCCATCTCTTCATCTCTTGTTCTCCTCATTTGTCTCCCTTTATCTGTTTATCTTTCTCCATCTCTCTCTTTCTTTTGCTTTCTCTCTCTATCCATTACTCTTTCTTTCTCTTTCTCTCTATCTCTCACCATGCTCTTTCTGTTGCTTTCTTTCTATCACCTCCTTCTCTCTCTCTCTCTCTCTCTCTCTCTCTCTCTCTCTCTCTCTCTCTCTCTTTCACCTGGCAGTCATTATAGTCTACTTGTTGTTAGAGTGGTCCTTTCTTTGCCTGTGTGTAGCAGATAATTGGGTCCATGTGGGGCGGTGGAGACGGAGGAGGTTCAATGCGAGAGACGACGACGCAAACCTACAGACGCCGTCCTGCAGTATAAATAAACTATTGCTGTGCCTAAAGCTCAGGCTGAGCCCTCACACCAGCGCACACTTCATCACTGCTCTGACGAATGGAGATGTAAGATTACAGCCAGTGTCACTTGTGGCTCTCAGTGGAGTTACAGTTAATTCTCTGTGAAGCTTCACTGTTTCGCATGCTACTACTGCGGTCATTCTACAGAAACCTGCGGTCATTCTACAGAAACGTCCACTTTTTTATCCATCCATAGGAGTCACTGGTTACACATAAGAAAGGTAACACCAGAGACATTTTTAATGTACAATGCATTTTACAAAACGGCTGCTACAGAGCATCAAACCACATGTTGTCAATCATGGAATATCCACTAAAATATGAAATTTAATCCATTTGTGTTCTATTTTTTCACAGTTACCTCAGAATAAAGTCGGTCACACCAGTGACTTCAGCTAAAAGCTTCATATGAAATCATGAGCTGAATGAGAAAATCTCTGATAACTGAAAGACACAGTGGACTCACCATGTGCTTTTCTTCATAGATCCTCAGAAAACAGGTAAAAGGAAGTCAAGTGATGTCATCAGTGTGACTTTTATTTCAAAATAAGAGATTTTTTGTTACGCAGTAACACCAGTGACACGACTCCTGAGGACCACAACTTTCATTATATATTTTATAATATCTGGCATTTGTTTTCTTTATGTCATTTAATTCATATATTTCATAGTCATGTGTAGATTATTGCAGTTAACATTGCAGAAAAACATGTTTTTTGTTACTTCAAAAAACTAAAGCCCCGCCCTCCTGCACTAAGATTAGCTCAAAGTTCAGTATGACATTCTAGAGCACTAAAACCCCCCTTTCTGCACTGTGATTGGCACAAAGTATGACAGTTCCGTTTAACATTTTAGAGCACTAAAGCCCCGCCCTCCCGCACTAACATTAGCTATCAATTCAGTATGACATTCTAGAGCGTTAAAGCCCCGCCCTCCTGCACTAAAAATTGCTTAAAGTTCACTATGACATTCAAAAGCACTAAAGCTCCACCCTTCTGCACTAAGAGTTACTCGAACAAGACTGGCTTAAAGTTCAGTATGATATTCTAGAGCACTAAAGCTCAAAGTTAGCTCAAAGTTCAGTGTGATATTCAGGAGCACTAAAGCCCCGCCCTCCTGCACTAAAATTAGCTATAAATTTAGTATCACATTCTAGAGCACTATAGCCCCGCCCTCCTGCACCAAAATTAGTTCAAAGTTCAGTGTGACATTCTAGAGTACTAAACTCTCCTGCACTAAAAAGTGCTTAAAGTTCAGTATGACATTCAAGAGCACTAAAGTCCTGTCCTCCTGATTGACGGCCAGCTACAAGCTTAGTATGAGATTCAAGAGCACTAAGGCCCCACCCTCCTGCACTCAGATTAGCTAAAAGTTCAGTATGACATTCAGGAGCACTAAAGCCCCGCCCTCCTGCATTAAAATTAGCTATAAATTCAGTATGACATTCTAGAGCACTATAGCCCCGCCCTCCTGCACCAAAATTAGTTCAAAGTTTAGTGTGACATTCTAGAGTACTAAAGTCTCCTGCACTAAAAATTGCTTAAAATTCACTATGACATTCAAGAGCACTAAAGCTTCGCCCTCCTGCACTAAGAGTGATTTGAATAAGACTGGCTTAAAGTTCAGTATGATATTCTAGAGCACTAAAGCTCAAAGTTAGCTCGAAGTTCACTGTGACATTAAAGAGCACTAAAGTCCTGCCTTCCTGATGGAGGCAAAAAATGAGGTTAGTATGAGATTCAAGAGCACCAAAGCCCCGCCCTCCTGCACTAAGATTAGCTAAATGTTTAGTATGACCTTCTAGTGCACTGAAGCTCCGCCCTCCTGCACTAAGATTGACTAAAAGTTCAGTATGACATTCAAGAGCACTAAAGCCCTGCCCTCCTACACTGTGAGTGACACAAAGTATGACATTCCAGAGATCTAAAGCCCCGCCCTCCTGCACTAGGATTAGCTCAAAGTTCAAAATGACATTCAAGTTCAGTGTGATATTCTAGAGTACTAAAGCCCCACCCTCCTGCACTATGATTGGCTAAAAGTTGTGTGACATTTAAAAGCACTAAAGTCCCGCCCTCCTGCACTATGATTGGCTAAAAGTTGTGTGACATTTAAAAGCACTAAAGTCCCGCCCTCCTGCACTAAGATTAGCTCAAAGTTCAATATGACATTCTAGAGCACTAAAGCCCCGCCCTCCTGCTCTAAGATTGGCTCAAAGTTCAATATGACATTCTAGAGCACTAAAGCCCCGCCCTCCTGCACTAAGATTGGCTAAAAGTTCAATATGACATTCTAGAGCACTAAAGCCCCGCCCTCCTGCTCTGAGACTGGCTAAAAGTTCAATATGACATTTTAGAGCACTAAAGCCCCGCCCTCCTGCTCTAAGATTGGCTCAAAGTTCAATATGACATTCTAGAGCACTAAAGCCCCGCCCTCCTGCACTAAGATTGGCTAAAAGTTCAATATGACATTTTAGAGCACTAAAGCCCCGCCCTTCTGCTCTGAGACTGGCTAAAAGTTCGTACTCATAAGAAGTGTAACGTTCTAGAAGATGTGAATATGAGCAGTTGTCCAATGGAAGCGCAGGCGGGCGGGGCTTTAGCACTAATTGCTCGTGAGCATGAACCACCTGGCCAGTCCCAGGGCAACGAGGCGTGGCTTTGTCGACATGCGGGCTTCCTCCCCTCACCAATCCCACTCCGCTCCGTTCCTCTAAAGCTCCGCTTCCCGGGTCTTCTCTCCAGCCCCCCTCTCTTTTTCCCTTAGATCAATGAATGCGCGCTCGCCTCAGCGACACTCCGCGCGCGCGCACACCTCCAGCGGACGTTCAGAGCTGCGGAGCGAGGCTCTCAGAGGCGCGCGGAAAGTCTCTGCACAGCTTTTTTTGTGATTTTTTTTTTTGCATTTTGGGGGCTTTTTTATTGCATTTTTTTCCTCTCGCGCTGCGCTTTTTGGGGAGCGTGCGGATGGAGAATGGATGCGTTTAAGCAGCCGTGAAGAGCACAGTCCTCGCGCTTTGCGGCTCTCTCGCTTCTCTCGCGCGCGCTCTTTTCGTCCTGTTCTGCTCGGAGTTGATGCGCTGAGGACTCCGCGCGCTGTGGGTTAATACTCGGGGACCTACTGCTGCTGCTGCTGCTGCTGCTGTCCGGTCCCGCTATGGCGCGCGCCGGTGCTGTGCGGAGTGTCGCGCGCGTCGCCGTGTGGCTTTGCTTCGTGCTCGGATGCTCGGGAGCGCAGGGTAAGTGTTAAAAAAACAAAAAACCCTTCATTTTCCCATCTGTGTGAACGTGCTGACGCTCATTTGCATAGACTGGTCTGCCTTTCAGCTCCACCGGCAACAGTCTGTGAAAGTTGGTCGCTATTATTGCTGTTATTATTTTATCATGGGGTGCAGAGTTGAGCTCCTCCGCCTGGGCATGGTGGGGGGCTTGCGTTGGTGGGCTTATATATTTCTTGCAGTCATGCATCTTTTAACATTTTCAAGTACGCGTGCAGCTTTTACGCCACAGCAATTCTTCATTGCATTTAATGCAATTAGGGGTCCAAGCACCTGAGATGCTGGAAACCTGCATTTATTCTCCTTATTATTATGATGATGATGATGATGATGCATTTATTTATTTACATATATTGCTTTTCATTTTTGTATTTATATTAATTTAATATTTAAATTCATTATTATTTTTATTTCATCCACCCCCCTGTAAGTTATACCAGTATGTGCTGAGTGCAGTCTCAGCTGGCTCTCCAAACGCAGTATGTATGAGAGGGCGCGCGCACAAATATAACGAGCAATCAATTAACGTCATTATCAATAGACGTTAATAACGAATAAGGTTTGAATGTAAGTCTGTACACTGTAGGTCACTGCTTTCTGGCGGGGTTCATTGGTCTTGGTCTTTGGTCAGCATTGACCGGTTAAGGGCTCGTGCACAAAACGAGCGGTTTTAGGCTTAGATCTGTAAACACGGACTGTTTTATTGAATATAATTTCATTTGTGAGTTCGATATCAAAAGGATCATAACCTGTTGTGTCATATCTGACCTGGAAATCAGCCATGTGTGCACTTTTATTGGCTAATTTGGTTAATAATCTGATTGACTTTATATGAATTGATTGTTTATTTGTATTACAAGACCTGATAGGGACCCCTCCCTGTGCAAAGGGTTGAGCCTGTGTGTGTGTTTATTGGACACTGTTTCATGCTGATTTGTATGGCTCTAAGTCCTCCATGCTGTTTGCTGAAGTGTTGTGCTTGCATTATTTTGGGGGTGTTTTAACCCCATTCTGGTGTTGTGTGCGAGGAAAACCAATCAGCGGTGGTCTGGTGGTCCTAAAGGTCTTCCAGACCCTTCCCTCTTGGTGCTGGGTGGGTGTCTGTTGTCTGAACTGTTTGCATTGGCTTTATTTTTTTGGTAATGGTTGAATGTGAGTGAAGAAAGCTCACTCTGTCCTCTCTTTCTACTTCTCCTCTCCTCCTCTCCTCCTCTTTCTCTCTCTCTCTCTCTCTCTCTCTCTCTCTCTCTCTCTCTCTCTCTCATTTAGACACTTCATTATCTATTCCAGTCCGCCGCACCTCCTCCTGCTTCTCCTTTCCTGTTTTTTTTTTTCCTACTCCTCTGAGCGACTCACTGAGAAGCAGGCAGTGTAACACACCAAGTGGAAACAAACAGGGTTGCTTGTTTGTTGATTTGCTTGTTTATTTATTTATTTATTTAAAACCCTCCCATCATTAAAAAACACTGCTGCCTGAATCCCATCCCCCTAACCGTTCAATTGGAGGCGAGATTTATTCATTTATTTGTTTATTTATTTTGAACAAGTCCTTAATAAGAAGACTGTCGCAACTTGAATCACTAATGATTCAATTAAAAAAGGATTTAGCTGGAAAAAAAATTATTCAATTAAAAAACAATGCATGTTTGTTTGTTGGTTGGTTTTAAATAGTCTTTCATGAGAAACACTTACCGGCTGAATATTTGATTATTTAATTGGAGGCAAGTTTTACTTATTTATTTATTTATTTATTTATTTATAACCAACCCCCTTTAAAAATGACCTGTTGGTACCTAAAACCTTATTCATTCATTTATTCATTTATTTATTCACTTATTTATTGAAAACCATCCCCTCAAAAAAAAAGGCTTGTTTATATCTGAATCTTTTTTTGTGCATTTATTCATTCATTTCAGAAAATGTCCCTCATAAAAGGCCTGTTGGTACCCAAGTCTTATTTCCTTATTTATTTATTTATTTATTTAGTTAGTTAGTTGTTTAGCCATTTGTTAATTTATTAGTTTATTCATTTATTCATTGATTCTTCCATTCATTTATTGCTCCCTGTTTGGTGTCTGTTGTGTATGCTCCCATTGTCCCACAGGGGGCGCTGTGTTTGGCTGTAGTGAGCGCCCTGAGCTCCGCGCTGCTCTCTCTCCTCCACTGCCAGCAGCTCACGCTCTGCAGTGTGAAGCAGTGCAGTGCTGCTCTTCACACACCAGCCTTTTATACGTGTGTGTTAACCTGATACACATACAGTCCTTCACAGTTCATGTCACATAATGATAATGTATTATATACAGACTGTGTGTGGCCACTTTAGACTGAGCCTGATGGGCAGCTACTCCTTTGTAATTGAATAGCTTGGTGGTTTCGACAGAATAGCACGGTGCACGTCCTCATGGGCTCAGTGTTATCGGTCAACACATGTGCTTCTTTGGTCCAAAAACACAGGGAAATCTTCTGCACAATGACCTGAAGGCTTATTGAATGATGCTGACCCATCAGCACAAGAGTAGCCGGTTGATGTTATGAGCCTCAACTCAAAGAAGTAAGAAGTGTCCAACTTCTTTGGCTACTGTTTTCATTCAGAGTAGACGAGCTAATGCAAGAGCTCTCAGCTTAACCTGACATAAGGGACAGTCTATATGAGGTCAAGGGATTCCCTCCTCAGTGGATGATGTGTGTACGTGTTGGGTTGTGGTGGTGAGAGAGAACAGAAAAACATCTTTTCTAACTTCAGCCATCATATTTAGCCTAGCAGCACCACTTCAGACCTCTCAGTCGTGCCCGTGGCTTGTTAAGGTGCTCATGCTTCCTTGTAGCAAAGTAAAATAATACACAATACACTGAGCAGAGTGAGAGGGCCGGTTTAATAGTGTATGACTACCTTGCTCCTGCACTCTTTGGCTATTTTAACTGGTGTACTTTCTAATTTCTGAAAGATACGCAGGTGGTTGCTAGGCTAAAACTACACTTTAATAACTACTAAACTGTCACTGGGGCAGGACCCCTCTTGTCACTGGGGTGGGACCCTCAAGGGTTCATCTCAGTACCTTTAGTCAGGGAACATAACTGAACCATAATCCACTGAAATGATATGTTCTAAGCTGTACTGACTCCACACACCCCGTCTCGTCTCCAGGCTTTTATTTTACTGTTCTGTTTTAAAACATTCGGTTATGAAAAGGTACAAATACAAACTTTTCACCTGGAAAAACTTATTTAAAGTGCTTAACTGCACCTTAAACCACTGTTGCACCTTTGAGGGAACATTTACATTGTTTGTACCTTGATGAACAAAAATGAACCTGCACAGAACCTTTATTTCTAACAGTATAGTAACGTACAGTTCTGTATGTGAGAAGTTGCCACTGCGAGGCTCAAATCAATGATCAGATCCCTATTAAGATGATTTTTAATAAATATGTTTCAGTGGATTTCAGGCATTCTCTAAGCAATTTAAGAAACTATTGTAAAATTCCTTATTGTGTTTCCAGATCTTGAAGACTCACCTGAGTCTTGAATGCTCAACATAACCAGATGGTTAGCTTAGTTGAGGTTCTATGCTCATGTATATGTCATATAAATGATCTACATAAATCATCTGATTAATCTACAGGCAGTTCAGAAGCTCCATGTTACTCCATGTAAATTTCACCAGTTAAAACCTAAAACTTGTAGGCTTTAATAAAAGTTGGCTTTCATTTTGATGGAAAAACAGTTCTTTCAGCCCTACCCTCGATGCTGGCCCACTGATAGACGCCCGAGTCTAAAGGCCACAGAGAAATCATTGGAGGTGGCAGTTGCCATTTTATTCGTGGATAAATACCTTTCCCCGATGCTTTGGTACCAGAAAATGCAGCGCTGTGTCTCTGTGCTTTCGCTCTGATGGGAATCCTTGGTAACACTTCAAAATCACTTCTGTTGAAGGCTCTCTGAGTGTGAAGGGAATGGCTGGTACATTAGATTTGTGTAGTGCAGCGTTATAGTGGAAAGTGTTTTGTGGAAACTGACAATGTTGAGACTAATTTTACTCTGTTTTGCTCAGTGCTGTCAAATCCACTCACACTGTCTACACTCATCAACAACATCCCCAAAATGTGTGTGTGGTTTAGCTGTTCTTCAAAGCTAAATATCCCCAGGATAATGGAAAACATGAACATTTTGACACTGTGTTCTCCAGAGAGAAAGTGCTTTAGATGGAGTGAAAGAGGCTGAAGATTAGCTTTTGGTTTCTGAGGTTGGGATTAAGTAGGTTTAGCAGAACAACGTTCAGATGCAGTCAGTCTTAAGAAGATGGAAACACCTCACAAAGACAGAAATACGCACTAGCGTGTGTCCTGCTGTCCTTTGGCCATGTTACACTTGGTGCACCTGAACATGCTAGCTGACATTCTTAACTTATACGGAAATCCGATATATGGCGATATGTGGAATTCAAATATCGTCGCTGTCCAATGAAAAACAAGTATCTTCAAAACAGTAACTTTACAGGAGAGGGCAAAAACCGTCTTTACTTTCAATGTAAGTTAATAGAAAAAGTTTTTCTTCTAAGCAATTTTGGAGCATTTCTATTGGTCCAATCATCATGAAATTTTCACACAATGTAAAATACATCTTCTGAGCTCAAATGATGCAAAAAAAGTAAAAATCGCAAAAAAATGGAAATACATGTTTTTCATTGGACAGCGACGATATATAACATATATTAGCATATACGGATTCCTCTTATGTCCATATTATGTTAGCCACATATGGACATATATGAGAGGTAGATGCTAACACAATTAAAACTGGACATTTTCAAACATAGGACATATATTTCAGTCATATATCAACATATATAAACTGCTGCTGGAACAATTTTAATGTTTTTCAGTTTTTGTCATAATTTGAAAATGCCTCTTGTCTTATATATTGTGTGTAAATTTTATGATGAATGGACCAAAAGAAACGGC